CCACCATGCCCGGCTAATTTTTTCTATATATTTTTAGTTGTCCGACTAATTTCTTTCTATTTTTAGTAGAGACAGAGTCTCGCTCTTACTCAGGCTGTTCTCGAACTCCTGACCTCCAGCAATCCTTCCACCTTGGCCTCCCAGAGTGCTAGGATTACAGGCATGAGCCACCGCGCCTGGCCACTTCCAGTTTTTTGAAATCTTTCTTTGGGGTGCCACACCATCTTTCTGCTCTCTTCCCCCCTGCCCCTTCTCTCTCTCTTTTCTTTTTCTCTCTCTCTCATTCTTTCTGTCTTTCTAAAGGATAAAATCAATTTTATGTATATATCTTCAAAGAAAAAGATTTTTTAATAATGTCACTTTTTTCCTTTAGGTGTTTTTGTGGTCGCTTGGTCAAGCAACATGCTTGTTTTACTGCAAGTGTTGCCATGAAATACTCAGATGTGAAATTGGGTGACCATTTCAATCAGGCAATAGAAGAATGGTCTGTAGAAAAGCATACAGAACAGAGCCCAACGGATGCTTATGGAGTCATAAATTTTCAAGGGGGTTCTCATTCCTACAGAGCTAAGGTATGTCACTATTTTATTTTATTTTTTCACTTCATTTACCTTGGTTAAGTAGTAAACATTTATCTCACAATTTATATAGCATTATAACAAAAAGTCTCAATCATTTCTTTGTGTACTTTAGAGTTCTTTGTATAGGTGCATACAAATATAGAATTGTACTTTCTTTGGTGGACTGAACTTTTTATCATTATAAAATGTTTTCTGTTTCTTGTCATTTTTTCTTTTATAACAGCATCTGCTTTTTCTGAAATCAGTATAGCTAAACTTTCTGCCTTCCTTTGTACTTTTAACCTTTTCTTATGTTTAAGAGTTATCTTCTAAGCAGCATTTAGTCGTTTTTAAATATTTAGTCTGCTGTTTATTTGAGTTTTAATTTGACATCATGTTATTATCTGTTTCTCTCACTTTTTTTTTTACTTTGTTCTATTTTCTTTTCTTTCTTGTATCTTTTTGGATTAAATACTTATTATTTTCTTCGTTCTTTAATAACGTGTTATTTATACAGTCACCCCTTGGTATCTGTGGGGCATTGGCTCCAGGATCTTCCCTCAGAGATACCAAAATCTGTAGGTATCGTTGTTTGCATATAACCTATGCACATCCTCCTGTATACTTTAAATTATCTCTAGATTACTTATGATACCTAATACAATGCAAATGGTACGTAAATAGTTGTTATACTTTATTGTTTAGGGAATACTGACAATAAAAAAATCTGTACATGATTAGTACAGACATAGTTTGTTTCCCCAAATATTTTTGACCCATGGTTGGTTGAATCCATGAATGTGGAACCCGTGGATACAGAGGGCCTACTGTATGTTCTTTTTCTGTTCTTTAGAGTAATCTTCTAATAAACACTATAAAGTACATTTTTAACTTGCTACTATGCACAGTCACACATCACTTCACAATGGTGATTAGTTCTGAGAAATGCATCCTTAGGTGATTTCATCATTGTGCTAACACCAGAGTGTATACAAACCTAGGTGGTAGCTTATTGCTTTTAGGCAACAAATCTGTACAGCATGTTATTGTACTAAATACTGTAGGCAACTGTAATGGTAAGTAGTTGTGTATCTAAACATATCTAAACATAGAGAAGGTACAATAAAAATACGAATTATAAACTGATGGGACCACCTCATACGTGCGGTTTGTCATTGACCAAAACATTGTTATGCAGTGCATGACTGTATTATAAATTAGTACTTTTACCCATTTCTGGATAATACAAGAACCTTTAGAATATTTGTAACTGCATTTATTTCCCTCATGACTTACGTGCTTTTCTTGGCATAAATTTTAATTTTCTGTGTATTTGAAACCCCCCAAACATAGTAATTGTTTATCTAGATTTAAACATTTTAACTTTTACATTTTTCTGCCTACATCCATGTCTTGATGAGAAAAACAGTGCCAAATTGTGGGCTCATCATCTCTCCAAGTTTTCTTGTTCTTCTGGATCCTGATCTCACAAGTAGTTACTGCCTTCATAGTTCTCTAGTACCTTAAAACAGATGTTATTTATCTTTTTTCTAGTTTATCTAGTTCCCAGGGACAGAGTTGGTCCAACATAACCTAATCCATCATTGCTGGGAGTGGAATTCCTCATTAATCCCTAATATAGTCTCTTTTTAAAAATTTCAACTTTATGCCGGGCACAGTGGCCCACGCCTGCAATCCTAGCACTCTGGGAGGCTAAGGTGGGCAGATTGTTTGAGCTCAGGAGTTCGAAACCAGCCTGAGCAAGAGCGAGACCCCGTCTCTACTAAAAAAAAAAAAATAGAAATTAGCTGGACAACTAAAAATACATAGAAAAAAAAAATTAGCTGGGCATGGTGGTGCATGTCTGTAGTCCCAGCTACTCGGGAGGCTGAGGCAGAAGGATCGCTAGAGCCCAGGAGTTTGAGGTTGCTGTGAGTTAGGCTGATGTCAGGGCACTCTAGACGGGGCAACAGAGTGAGACTCTGTCTCCAAAAAAATAAATCAATTTTAGACTGTTTCCCCAATACCACTTTATGTACCCAACTATGAACAAACAAAACCAACACAGAAAGACTTAACGTAGAACAAATCCAACAAATCCTGTTTTTTTCTTTTTTTAGAGACAGAGTCTCACTCTATCACCCAGGCTGAAGTGCAGTTGTATGATCATAGCTATCTGTAACTTGAAACTCCTGGGCTTAAGCAGTTCTCTTGCCTCAGCCTCCCAAGTAGCTGGGACTTTAAGCACGTGCTGCCATGCCTGCTAACTTTTTAAATTTTTGTAGAGACAAGATCTCTCTCTGTTGCCCAGGCTGGTCTCTAACTCCTGGTCTCAAGTGATCCTTCTGCCTTGGCCTCCCAAAGTGCTAGGATTACAGGTGTGAGCCACCACACCCAGCTTACCAAGCATTCTTAAGGGACTCTGGAGTCTTCTCAGTTCTGTAGAATTCTGATGTTTTCAGCTTCATTTGTTTGTCACTACTGAGATTTTCAGTGGTATTTGGTCTTTGTAAAAGAATGGGAAATACATTGGCGAAGAGGCTTTCTTCAAGATGATTTAAAAATGTCTCTTCCTGGGGCATGGTGGGTCTTTCCTGTAATCCTAGCACTGTGGGAGACCAAGGCAGGAGGACCGCTTCAGACCCAGAATGCGAGACCAGCGTGGGAAACCATAGCAAGACCCCATCTTACGAAAAATAGAATTAGCTCAACATGGGTGGTGTGTGCCTGTATTCCCAGGTACTTAAGAAGCTGAGGCAGAACGATCACTTGAGCCCAGGAGTTTGAGGTTGCAGTGAGCTAGGATGGTACTACTCCACTCCAGCCTGGATGACAGAGGAAGGCCCTGTCTCCAAAAAAATAAAAATATCTCTTCCAATGTCTGAATATTTCACATTTCTTTTTTTTTTTTTCCCCCCCTCCTGCCCGGAAGCTTTTAGGGTTTGGTGTTCTGATATTTTATTTGTATGTGTGTATGTATCTGTATCTGTTATCTATTAAATATATCTATCTACCTATCTATACATGTCTCTCCCTTTTCTATTGTCTATATTGTCTCTTTCTGGAACTTTTGTTAATGCGATGTTAGACTTGTTGAGCGATGTGAGAAGGTCAAAGTGAGGCATGGGGAAGAGCAGTAGGAGGTGAGGTGGGACAGCTGAAGGGGGAGGACATGTGCCAGGTCCTGTGGGCCTGTGGGCCATTACAGGATGTCATGGTGAGAATTTTTGTTTTTTCTTGTTACTTGACTTTAAAGGGAATACTTACAGTTTTCACCTTCCTGGCTTAATGTATTGTGTGCGTGTGTGTGTGTGTGTGTGTGTAAAATCTTAATAAAGATAAATACATATAAATACAGCTTAATGTATGTTTTGTGGTATGTCTTGAAAATATTGGTGCTATATCTACCTCTATTTTACTGGAATTCAGTAATACCAATGAATGCTTTTTTTCCTTTCCATTTTAATCATGTTAGATAAAGAGATTGAACTTTTCCTGAATTTTGGAAGACTGACACCTTTTAAGTATATTATTGGATTATGTTTACTAATATTTTATTTTAGAAAGGGCTACAGCATAGAGGTCAAGAGCCTGACCTCTGGAGCCTCATTGTATGAGTTCAGACCTAAGCTCCTCTCTTGTCTAACTTCTCTCTCAAGCTTCTTATGAAGCTAATTCATACATGTACTTTAGGCAAGGAGAATGAATTAAACTAGTCATAGCATGTACGTTTTGTGATATCACTTAACAGAAAGATAATTTTTTAATCTTTCAAACCACGGGAAGTTATTGCATACATATGAGAGCTTATTTTCTTTCACTTTTGTGTAGACTGGCTGTATGAAAATTAAACTGGTGAATCTGAGCACCACGAAATGTTTATTAGAATTTTCTGCTTATATGCTTATATCTCAGCCTGATCAAATCCACAGTTGTTGCCAGTGAAGGAAATAATCACTCATATTAAAAATATCTTTTAAATTTTATTCCATAGTCACAATTCATTTATAAATGGACTAGATCATTT